ATAAAAAACTACCAATCACGATGTTTTCCAAGAAAGAACCAGCTGCTACCGATGCCGCTCCACCCTCCACCTCCCGGTAGCGTGCCTCTCCACCACCCACGTTTACACCAACCCCCACTGCATCACCCTCTTCCAACAGTGATCCTGATGATCTCCCTATGCTTCAGTAACCAGATGTCTCCCCATGTACAATGTATCACTTCATCAAGCTCCAAACTTCCACATACGAATGTAAGTATTGGTAACTTAAGTTTCTCATACACAGTATAGGTATATATTACTGCACTTAAGTATTATATAAGTTGATATTTGCTGTTTTGCCAATGGAAGAGTTGACGGTTCTGAGTAAACACAAGAAATACACTCTGCCACATTTGTAGACTGATACGGTATATTTAATTTGCAATAAAAGTTGAAAGTCCTGCTATAATAGTCAAGATAAGTTTATTTCTCTAGAAACAGGGCCGCCATTTGCAATGAAGTCACCACCTACCCTGCAGACGATGCATGGATGGAGATACAAGTCAATTGAGAAGTAATGACATAGTCTGGACTTTGTTTTGAGAATGCCTGATTCAAGGTAAACATGACAACATAGTGCTGTTATTGTTTTGATGATTCACTAATGAACCACTGGGATATATCATCATTTATATTAATTAATGGGTAAAATTTTACTTTAACTACCATAAGTATTTGGATGCATAGAGTCAAGAAAGGCTATATTGGGTAAATTTTAAGTTTTGGTCATCCGTGTTCTTAGACATGCAGACTATGTTTTTTTCCCTGATGGCTTGCAATGTATTATGAACGATTTAGATCTTTATTTCTATCGGAAATCACTAGTTTTGAGTTACAACCCCCCTTACCGATGCATGTTAAACTAACCTTATAATTTATCATACCCTAACCCAACTTATGACCTGTATTTTCTTATGCGATCGAAAAATGTTTTACTTTTACTTACTTTTATCCTCTTCACCACTGATCGGCTCGTTAGCCGCTTGGGCGATCGGTCACGTCTCTGTTACGCACTGATGACAAGTACTACTGGGTATGCACAGGCTCCTGAATGTACCTGAACTTGCTCCAGTGTTGGTCAAGTCTGGTCTTGAAAGAGCTCACACTTGGTGCCGTTACAACACTTTTTGGCAGATTGTTCCAAGAGTTCACAACTCTCACAACGAAAAAGTTTGCCCTCACAGTTTTCTAGACCTGCAGCTTCTTCAATCTTGAGCTGTGACCCCTTGTGGGGCAAGCGTCCGCCAGCTCCAAGTAAGGACACTCGACTGAGTAGTGCCCATTGAGATGCTTATACACCTCAATTAGGTCGCCCCTTGCCTGTCTGTAGTATAAGCTAGGCAAGTTCAGGCACTCCAATCTCTCAGGGTAGTTGAGGTGCCAAAGTGCAGGTACCAGTCTGGTGGCCCTCCTTTGAACATTTTCAACCAACTGACAGTCCCTAGCATATCTCGTGGACCAGGCGAGGTGACAGTACTCCAGATGGGGAAGCACTTCACTCGTGAAGATCGTTACGAGGGACGGACCGTCTAGATATCTGAACGACCTTCTTATAAGACCCAATAATTTATTTGCCTGATTTACCTTCTTCTCGCAATGGCCCAAGAACTTCAGCTCATTGTCAACACACACCTAGGTCCTTCTCAAATTCAGTCTCAAATAGTGCAGTTTCTTCATCCCGTTGGGACATATGATACGCCTCCTTACCGTTGGTATGCCCCAGGTGCATCCTCTTACACTTCGTGACATTGAATCTCGGCAGCCATTTCTTCGACCAATCTTGGAGCTCACAGAGATCCTTCTGCAGCTCTTCACAGTCCGCATGGTTCTTGATTTCCCGAAATACCTTGGCGTCATCGACAAACATTTGTATGGAGGAGTGTACGTCAGGCATGTCATTTATGAAACAAACAAAAAACAGCGGGCCCAATACACTGCCCTGTGGTACCTCGCTTGTGACAGGTACGGAAGATGATTTCGTGCCATTAATCACCACACACTGCTTGTGGTCATGTAGAAAGTCTTCTATCCACGCTAAGACATTTCCCCGAATTCCGTACCCTTCCAGTTTGATTTTCAGCCTTTCGTGGGGTACAATGTTGAAAGACTTGGCAAAATCTAAGTATACAGCTAGACCCCGACTTACGACTGCTTGGACTTACGACCGTCGGGACTTACGACCGCCGCAATTGTGACCATTTTTTTTTCTTTCCAAATGACACGCATTTTCTATACCGAAACGTTTCCAGTTAATGTAGTCTCCATGTATAATTTGAAAATTATGGGGGCCCCATGTGCATTCAGCTGACTACATTAAAGGTAAGTGCTCAGTCACACTGTATCCATTCCTTATTATTTATTACTTTCACTGTACTGTATCCATTCATCATTATCTATTACTTTTACTGTACTGTATTTCGTTGTAGATTTTTTATTTAAAAAAAAAAAAAAAAAAAAAAAAAAAAAAATTTTTATCTGTGTCGGACTTACGACCTGGATTTGGGTCCCTAACCCCGTCGTAAGTCGGGGTCTAGTTGTATATTGTCGATATTACCACCCTGTTCCAGAATATGGGTCCAAATATCCAATACCTTGAGCAATTGTGTTAAGCAGGAGTGCCCCGGCATAAAACATGAAATAGAGAACAGTGATGAAAACACCATGTTGGAGTTATTTGTCTTTTGCATCATTTTGGCACCAGCAAGTAAATACACAAGATGATACTTGAGCAGTAATTTATTTTAACCTGAAAATAAGGTATGCCTGTGTACTTCAACTGTAAACTCCTTGGTTAGGGATGTTCAGGTGACGGGCAAATCAAAGGGAATGATTGAAATCCGCCTTTAGACGCATTCAATATTTATTGATGTGGTCAAAACCTGCAGAGAACAAGGCGTTCATTAGTATTACATGGTGAACTATCTGATACATAATTAGTTAGTCTCACACGATTTCATCTCAATTACAATTGATTATTAAGCATAGTGACATGATACAAAGTTCATAACTCTCTATTAATCTTAGTTACACTTTATTCCGTGTTGTCTTATTGCTCCAGATAAGGCAGAAACGAGTAGGCATAATTAGTCCACAATATTTCAGTACTGAGGGGTATGTCATCACTTTGGCTGTACTTACAAGTGAGGGTCGATGCAAACCAGATTGGTGTTCCAAGGGACAATAGTACTGTGTAAATTGTTCCAGCACAAAACTCGGCCAGGATTGGGAGTCGGTGTTCACCACTGCTAGCAGAGGGCTGGTCCTCACAGCATCACTTGAGAGGGCGATCTGAATCATGGAGGCCAGGAGGCCACGCCACCCTCTAAACCATACATTCAGCAGAATCAGGGCCTCTTGTCTGTAACCACCCCCCCCTCCCCCAGCCGCCACATCTGGCGAGGTTGCGCGCGCGGGGGGGAACGTGGTCGCAAGCCGAGAGATTTAATGTTTGTTCGGGTAAGGCAACGCCAGCATTGTAGTTGAAGCCAGCGGCGATAGCATCAACATTGTATATGGCCATAAGTCCTGTATTTCTGCTGGTAACAACACATACACCACAACTGGCTGGGCGGCTCGCACTAGTTAGTGGCGTCACAACCAATCACAGAGCTTTTCGCAATCACGTGCTTTTTAGCAACTTTAACCCTTATTTTTTTACACTTTTGGGCCCAATTTATGTTAAAATATCATTACCATCATGAATTTAAGCATTTTCTTTACCCTTTGATCTGCCATCTAACGCAAAAATTCTGACTGTCAACTAGTCCATTCGCGCCATTTCTTGGAACCTTTCCCTCGCCATTCACTGTACAGGGGGTCCCCGGGTTATGAACGGGTTCCGTTCCTGAGAACATTCTTCAGTCGGATTTGTATATAAGTCAGAACACATGCTATATGCATACCGTACTTACAAAACAATGTTTAAAATCTCACTGTATCATAGCCTAAGTTCTTATAAACATCTAACTGAATCGTCGGGATGTTAATTTTTTTTGGGTATCTAAAGATTAGAGACGTAGTACCGAAACGTTAAGCAGGCCGATGTTATACGAGAACTTACTGTACATTGATGTATTACCTATGTAAGAATATTCTAGAATGTATTGCATGAATTTTTTTATGATTTATTGTACGCCTAGATCATTCTAGAACTTTCCAGGCATATCTCATTCTTATCTGCAATGCCTGGATGGCACTAGGATGTTCTGGGCATCTGAAGAAAGGGATTTAAACAGCCAGCAAGGTGTCCGGTGAAGTAGTTGACTGAAACCTCTGCTCAGAATATGAAGTATAAGCCTAGTGACAGCTAAAGATAATTGTTGTTCAAGTATTGTGGAATTGTCGTGAGCGATATAAGTGGAAAGACGAAGGAACTGTTTCACTGGTAGTGTGCTGACTATATATATTCAAAGTGAGAAGTCCAGTTCCGCGGACATACCCTGTAAACGGTTTTGTGAAGACTTAGTGATTATTAAGGAGACATCAGTTCATAAGTGTGTTTGTGACCCAGTGGAAATCTACCTGCCTGTTGTTTTGTCTACACACTGATACTGATTGTCAGGAAATTACCGGAGACTGGTGGGACAGCCAGTGGCAATTCAACGACACTTGTGATACATGTATCTACAGCTTCCGTATACAGGTATATGCCCTGGCTGCTGGTAACCAGCGGTGGAAGCTGATAAATGGCAAAAGGGGTTCGTAACAATATATATATGCACACATTACATAGGCAACAGTTTACAATGGCACACAGAGAAAGGCAAGAAACCAAAGGATTACAGTTAAATTTCCTTAATAAGTTGACAAAATTCATAATCTAACAAAAATTACTTAAAATACATTAAGTTAAGAAACATAAAACTATTATTAAAAAAAATATTTACTGACATTATGTAGATTGCTCAACAAGTGCAACTCTGTTAAAATAATAACTTCCCCCAAGATAACCTTAAGAATATTTACAGTACGGTACTTACAAGATATCTCTCCAATAAACATGCCATCAGTCTGGAAGTATGGATGAACAAAGGGGACATCATCACCTGCACTATTCACTGCTGTCATTTGATCTGCCCATCTGTAAATTAAGAATATATTTATCCCTGAGTTTGATATGGGACCAATCAACAGTGAAAAGTGAAAGTGGGTCCAATATACAGTACCTGATTGCCTGTTAGAACCACACCACTGACTAAGCAGTTTTTTTTTAAATAAAGGTGGCGACACACTGGGCACTTTCCTCTAAACATGTTGCCCATTTTGCTGGCCATTGGCCTGACAGCCCAGCAAGCAGCAGGATTTCTGCTGTTGCGATAAATGGACAATGGTTTGGCAGGGATTTTTGCTGGCCAGATTAGTACTCAAATGAGCTTCATATAATTTCAAGTAAAAATTTAAATACGTACAGTAATTCATGAAACAATAATAATTTAAAACATAACACATAAATAGTCACATATTTCTATTTATTCGTCCCTTTAAAACTTCTTTAGTATTATTGTATTAAATCATTATTCAGGGTCTTCTTTGGCCAGCCAGCCGCCGCCACTTTTAAAGAAACTTCACGACGCACCCACTGTCTTTTCTTTAACTTTTGCAGACGTCTCACTTGCTTCAGCAATTGAAGAACTATAACACAATCCTGCAAGGCCTCAACTGTAGTGATAGGATCCATGGCAAACCTCGTCTAGACGCTTTGTTGTTGTTTTGTTGCGTTGGGCAGATGTGCCAACAAAACACCCCAGTGTGATGCAAAAGTTTCTTTGTTTTGCTGGCCAGACCTTGTTTGCCAAACATGTTTGGAGGAAAGTGCCTTTTGGAAACAGTGTGGCTAGCACTGAACTTGACCACCATCACTTTCCAGTCACAGCTAGGTGTGCTGGGACTGTCCAAGGCACAAACCAGTTGACAACCACTAATACAGTTACAGCTGTACATTAATTAATTTGTACCTATGTGTCATATACTGCAATAGCATTAACAAATATTTGTTTTTTGGCATAATTACCATAAGAAAATGCTGAAAGACACTAATTGTGGTGAAGAAAGGTGTGGATGGGAGCATTACACAAGCATGACAAAATTAATGAACAAAATCCAAATAGCTGCAACATTGGTCTTGTTCCTTTCTCTAAACCAGTGGTCCCCAACCCTTTGTTGGCTCTGGGCCACATTTGTCATTGTAATTATAGTCAAGGGAGCCAAAACTTTGGATCTACATTCAAGAAAAAAAATCTCATATATACTGTACAGTTGCTTGCAGTTTTACATGTCTGACTGTTACCAGTTACATATTTTTTACATTTACTCTTGGACAGGACGTGTGTATTTACCCCCAATGAGAAGGTCGGCTCTCTCTCTGGGCCCGGTCTGGGGTAAATACACACGCGCTGTACATGACAGACTCGGGACAAACATGCAGTCCCCCCCCTCCCTTTCTCATAAATTATAAAGTTGTACAGTAAAATCTTGATGATACGAGTAGATACGTTCCTTGAACTCTGCTCGTATAGCGAAAACTCGTATAACGGAGGGAATAATACATGGGTTAAATAGGGATGCATTCCTGAGCACCAAGCTGTGAGGTGTTATGGTTGTTTTCAACTCGTATTTTCTGGTAGATATACTTATGTTTCTTCATTTATTTTTACTTATTTACAGTACATGCACACACCATCCTAAATATATACTGTGAAAAAAGTAGAAGAAATAATTGTCCTAAGGGCAAACTCAAATGTACTAAGTCAATTACTAAAAAAAAAAAAATTGTCTAGTGCGAACTGTGGGATGTTTGTAGTCAAATTAATCACTCTCTTACAAGAATTCCAGCAATGTAAGTTAAATTCTGCCAAATCAATTCGGTAACATTTTATAAGCAAAAAACTTAAACTCCCTCTATATGACAGATAAATACGCACTACAGCCAGGATGAAGGTAGTTTTAGGCTTAAAGTTTTTATCTTATACAATTTTGCTGACTTAACTTAGCAGAATATAACTTGCATTTCTGAAATTCTTGCAAGACAGCAGATAATTTGAGTATAAACATCAAAACATCACATAGTTTGTACAAGAGATAAAATATTTAGTCCTTTAGTCTAGTACATTTGAGTACAAAGTGAGTACAGTAATATGTTGCTCAAAATTATGGCTTTTTCACAGGAAAAAGTCTGTAGTATAACTAACCCCAGTGGTCACTGTACTCGCTTCTCGCATCATTGAACAATATCGCACGTAAAGCGAATATAAGGTGCAAATTCCTTAACCTCGTATCATCGAATCCTCTATAAAAAAAGCTCACATAACAAGATGTTTTCATTAATTTCACTCTTACAAAGAATCCTAAATAATTCAAATTTTTCTAATAAACCGGCACCCACGAACTACAGGTTGGGGACCACTGCTCTTTACTGTATCCCGAATGAAAGAGGAACACTTGAACTAGTCAAAGGCTTAGAGAATCACAAGGTGCAAATGAGCATGAATGTAAGCATCAAAATCTTTCTATCTTGTTTGTATCACTTATGTTACTTGTATATTATTTGTAATTCGAAACCCATTCCCCAAATATGTAACTGTATATTTTCAGCCTTCTGGCTGCCAAGCTCTTTCAATAAACCGTTAATTATTATTATTATTATTAATCAATTATAATTAAGATAAATTGTGTGAGACTAACTAATTATGTATCAGATAGATCACCATGTAATACGGTTGAATGCCTTGTTCTCTGCAAGGTTTTGACCACATCAATAAATATTGAATGCGTCAAAAGGCGGGTTTCAATCATTCCCTTCGACTTGCCCGTCTCCTGAACGTCCTTACTAAGGCGTTTACAGTCAAAACAAGTACGGGATGGCGTCGAAGGGAATTCTCAACTACCAAAAGGACAAAAGGACCACGGGACACGCCGCCAACGCCGGGGGTTCAGCGTGGGACAACGTAGGCCGTCAGTCAGTCACCCACCCACAGTGGGTGGGACGTCAGAATGGGAGACTGCGAAGCGGAGTGTCGTGTGTTTGAGTGAAGTGTTCAAATATATGAGGGGTTGTCATAAAGTTTCGGTTCAAGCGTAAGGGGCTGTGAGCGTCTGTTTGCGACGAGCCAGCCCACGCACCCAGTGAACAAATATTCACTACACTCGGACAGTGTTGTAAAGTTTTGGTCCGAGTGGATGGGCTGTTATTGTTCATTCCGGACAGGCAAGCCCACCCTCCCAGTGATTATATATGTGTGTGTGTGTGTGCACCAGTGATCATAACGAGCAGCTGATCGGGTTTGTGGTAAACAAATAACCAACTCGACGAATTACAGGGTAAGTGTGATTAAATTGACTTAATATCACCCCAATTTGACACCATAGACAACCTGCAGTGATCCACTTGCAACACTGTAAGCAACCTGCAGTGATCCACTTGTACCACCATAAACAACCTGCAGTGATCCACTTGTAACCATAAGCAACCTGCAGTGATTCACTTGTAACACCGTAAATAACCGGCAGTGAAGTGTCACTTGTAACACCATAAGCAACCAACAGTGACCTACTATTGTCGAACATAATACAAGCAGCGAGCCACACCACCGAACGCAAATACAGTTGGTGAGCAGTGGTTCATCGAACAAACTTTGAGACCTAACCGAAGCTGCAAGTAACTCTCAATAAGAGGACCAGAGGTAGTGGGAATGGATCGACATCGACGGGTGTGGTATGGCACATTCAAGATGGCTCCACCTGCCAAAGGAAAGGACAGGCGTGCCGCCAAGAAAGGCAGGTGGGAGCAGCCGCCAGATCATAAAATCGAATAGGGTAGATGCTGATGTTAAGGAAGGCCGAGGATTCAAGAGAGCGCCGGACTGTGACCTCGAAGATAGAGAGCAGAGTGGTGGAACTGGAGGAAGAAAGGATAGAAAGAGAGAGCCCCGAGAAGATGACCAAGGAAATCAGCTGAGGCGGTTCGACCAAGCCGACGACAGGCAAGGAGAGAAGGCATATGCGAATTACGTGAATACTACTGTAAGAGGGCGAGATCAATGACTAAGCCAAGACAAGGTCGCGCTCCCACTACTAGAAGTGCAAGTAATGGGAAAAGGGTTCATAGGATCGGAGAGAACCATGGCGCTACTGGACACAGGCAGCGACAGGTCTTACTGTGCCAAAAGACTGGTCGAAAGACTAAGAATGCGAGGGAAACCAACATCACTCTTCATAAACACATTAACCCAAGGGGAACAATGTAACACCACAGAAGCAGATCTGGAAGTAAGAGGCATTAACACCCAGAGAGCGAAGTGCCCCATATCCCTTCCTAAGGTAATAGTACTTGACAGACTGCCACCTTCTTTAGAAAACTCGACAGCTACAGCCCAAGACATAGATGCATGGGGATACCTTCGAGGACTTGCTACCAATCATGCAGCTACCAATCAGGGAGGTACTACCGCCTGGGAAGATATTGGAAGCATAATGTATTGTCTAACGGTAGACCCTGCTGCCATATGGCATCACGAAAATTGTGACCAAGTCCCAGGTTGCTGATCTGACTTTCTGCCTCATTTACACACAATTGCTTGGTCTCAATTGTTTCTCTTAATTGGACAACACAACATACATAATGTGTATCGTTTCTCACTCTTGATTTATTTTTTCGTTTTTGTATTTATTTATGGTTATTATTATTTTTTTTATTAATATTTTATTTGTATTTGTATTAATTTGCTATTAATTGTTGTAATAATAATAATAATAATAATAGATATTATTATTATTATATTTTCGCCCCCCAGGCCCTGATGTGGGTCAGTGACCTGTGCCCAGGTGGACTAATCCCTGTAAAAAAAAAAAAAAACTTCCACCAAACAGACGAGTCGCACAGTTACTGATTGGACAAGATTGCCCAGATGCCCTGACTCCCATCGAGTGTCGGACGGGGCCGGATGGAGCAACTTTTGCAATAAGGACAAGATTGGGTTGGACGATTAATGGGCCCCTGATGAGCAATTTAACTCACAGGTTTAAAACGGAATGTTCCATGCTGACCGCTTCTACAAAAAAAAAAAAAAAAAATCCTTTGGAAGAGCAGGTGAGGTGCTTCTGGGAGATCAAAGCGTTACACCAGACCATGGGAGATGGCTCCCCATCATCAGTGGAGGATAAACGGGTCATCGAGCTTTGGTCGTCAACTGGACAGAGAGTGGAGGGACACTACCAATTCCCAATTCCATTCCGGCGTCAATCGCCCTGTCTACCTGACAACAGAGAGCTCGCCAAGCGTCGCCTACTGGGACTAAAGAAACGCCTATCGAGGGACACAAGGTTGAGACTCCAATACAAGGAGGAGATGGAAAAGTTATTCAACGAAGGCTTTGCCAAAAGGGTGCCACTAAGGAAATTATCAAAGTCCGGTGGAAGTAGCTGGTATTTGCCTCATCACCCAGTACTGAACCCCAACAAACCAGACAAGGTACAGATAGTCTTTGATTGTGCAGCGGTCTTCACGAAGACTTCACTCAACAACCAAGTGCTCCAAGGACCAGACCTCAACAACAAATTGATTGGAGTGCTCATGCGGTTTAGACAAGAGCCGATCGCCCTGATGGCCGACATCGAGGCAATGTTCAATCAAGTGAAGGTAAACCCAGAGCACAGAGACGCTTTACGATTCCTTTGGTGGGAAGGTGAAGATTTGACACGAACGCCAATGACATGTAGGATGACTACATCTCTTCGGAGAAGTGTGGAGTCCCTTGTGTGCAGCCTATGCTCTGCAACAGACCTTCCAAGACTTCAGACCACCTGCTCATGTCAGTAACTGAACCAAAAGAGTCAATTATGATATCTCGGCAGTTGCGACATCTTCTATCCCTGGGAGGTTTCAAACTCACAAAATGGATCAGCAACGACAAAGAGGTCCTCAATACGATACCATTTGAAAGTCAACATACTGGAGTGAAGGAAGCGAACCTGGGATGTGAAGACCTACCCACGGAGAGAGCCTTGGGAGTCATGTGGGACCTAAATGGAGACCAGCTTGCAGCAAAGGTTCAGGTTCCCACCCGACCAGCGACAAAAAGGGGCTTACCAGCAGTGGTAAGCTCGGTGTACGACCCTCTAGGATTCATCTGCCCTTTCACCATCAAAGCCAAGCTCATTTTCCAAGACGAATACAGGCGAAAGAAGGACTGAGACGAAGACATCGCCAAGCAAAACCTTCACAAGTGGTTGCGATGGCTTGAAGATTTGAAATTACTGCGAAACTTCAAAGTTCTTCGCTGCTACAGACCCGGGGGCCTGGGTTGTGCCACCTCATCGCAACTTCATCACTTCTGTGACGCCTCACAAGTGGCCTATGCAGTTGCGACATACCTACAGACAGTAGATAAATGAAGGTACTGCCAGATGTTCTTTCGTTTGTGGCAAAGCTCGTCTGGCGTTTAAAGGATTAACGTCCAATGGGGACTTAGTGTATTGTAGACCATTGAAATTTAATAAAATTCATATAAATCACAGAATGACTAACAAGATTTTTACAAATCTCAGATACAGTAATGTACAGTATTACTATTTCACAGTAAATACATATTTACTGTAGTACCATATTGAGAGAAATCTGTTGTTACTCGACTATAAATAAATTACAGTATACTTACTTCGTTGACAGCGTATTAATGGAGCCAGTGACGACCATCAACAGGGCAATGAGTGTTTGTTTCTTTGTCCAAGCCATTGTTCTCCAAAAATGTGGTAATTGTTAATACAGTATGTCCCACACTATACCCAGTAATAAAAGTAAAAAATTTTCTTATAAGTGGAGAAAATTATGCACTGTACTGTACTTTGCATCAATACACAAACTTGAGCCCCAGTAGCACGGGTGTTGACCCAACGGTGTCTATAACTGAAGTGAAATGTTATCACTTAATTCATACACCATTACTGTGTTATGACCTTCATCTCCCCCCACACCACCCGGTACTCACCCACTCACTCTCGAGTTTATCAGCCCTTCTCTCCACTTCACTTATGGTACCATGCCACCCACTAAACATACTGTACAGTCCTATGTCACGTTACTGGACTAATTATTGGACTGTATGATCCAGAATATTCGAAGACCCTGAAATAATGAAGATGTTACTCGGTTGAATGGGCTTACTGTTTACCGTTGTTGTTACGTCTTCACTGTTTATGTACTGTACAGTACATGATGAACCAATGTAAATTTGTCCGATAATTTTTACTGAATAAATAAATATTTAGCCATCATACTCAACGCATTTAGGACAGAAACGTGTTCCAGGTGTAAAAATCCCACCTTACCCCCAAGTTTCTTTAAATTAAAACAGAATTATGGTAGGGGAGGTAGGAAAGCCACCCCCTCCACTTAACAACACTCAATAGGGTGAAAATCATAAAGTTTATTAAATCAATAAAATTTCAGTGATTAAAATAGAGTAACTGTGACCATTTACTATACAGTACATTCTAAAGTTTATTTTGTGCGCAACAATCAGAATACTGTACTGTACAAATCAATAACCTGATTGATTTTATTGTATGCAATGTAATGTCGCAGTCAAAAGCTCTCTCCCGCTCCCGGCCACAATGTGAGTTCAAAACATCTGAGGTTTGAACAACGAAACAGCAGAAGGAAGTCCCTTTTTGAACCAACAGATGTCACACCAGAATATCCATCAGGGAGGCAGGGAGAGGAGAAGTGGGAGGAAGGTTGTTTGAGGTGGAGAATGACAAAGAAATCTCCACCCACTGATCACATTAAGATTGTGATGGAGCTGAGTTTACAATACAGTGGTCCCTCGGTTAACGAACACGATTCGTTCCAGAAGGTCGTTCGTTAACCGAATCCATTGTTTCAATAGGATATTGGGTAATTGGTTCCAGCTCACCGAAAAGTACATACAAAGTAAAAAAAAAATGCAGTAAAGTACACTTACTTTGAGGTGTGCATGTAGAAGGCTCCTGGTTGATGATGATGATGATGGGAATTAGAAGTGGGGGTGGAGGAGAAGGGAGAAGAAAAGGAAGTGGGGATGGAGGAGAAATCACCTTTCAGGGGACCCATGCTTGATGTCGTCATTTTACCAATAAAATTTTAAGTTCACAAGGTGTAATTCAAGATTATTTTCTTTAAATCAACACTGCACTGCACTATATATTATCAATATGTTAAATAAATTTCAGAATGTCCAATAATTGTACTGTAAAAACGTAAAAATACTCTGTGTTCAAGAGACCCACAAGCAAGATGTTTCCTCCACTGAACAGAGACACAAACAGACGCCTTGGTGGGTGAGTGAAGTGGCTGATGGGCGCACCAAAAATTAGTTCCCTGTACTGCAATTATGTTAAAAAGTGTTAAAATGACTAATAATTTTAATATATAACTTGGAAAAATATTGAATAGCACAACCTTCTTGATATTTACTCCAATGGAAACGAATGTAAGCCCTAGAACAGATTACTGTATTGGCGGACTAATCTACCAGCTGATGAGCAAGCCAAAACATGTTGACATGTTTTCATAAGAATTTCGTTAATCAAATTTTGTTTGTTAACCGAATTGAAGATTTTTATGGAAAGTAAATCGTTAACCAAAATTTCATTAACCGAGGGACCACTGTAATAAGGATAATGAATATATCGACAAAAATATTATATACACTACACAACAAAGAACATATACCACATGCCATCAGCGCAAACCGTATCATTACCTCATCCACACCCTTTTACACTCGAGTAAGTACAGGAGTCCCATCCACATGAACAATGTGGAGAAGGACTGGTTCACTCAGCAACCGGAAATAGAAATCCTCAACTGGCCGTCCAAGGGATGTGATATGAATTCCATCAAGAATTTATGGACCATGATGTGTCGCGAGTGGGACGTGGATGATGAAGTTAGTTGTGGCGTGCCATTGAGGGAAAGGCCTGGGAGGTGTGGGAATCAGTGAGGTGGCATCCTAACATCTACCTAAGGAGAACTGGTGAAGTGGCTGACACTCAGGCTGGACCTCATATTGAAAGCAAAGTCCCATAATCACATTATTAGCATAAAAGGTTTTCATGTGATAATATAACCTTAATAAAGACATCAGTAAATATGTGTGTAAATTAAATACCGTAAACTTAAAATCAATTATCAGAACATGTACTGTATAGTGTTTTGTTTCAGAAATGATATCCATTTCATATCTAAAGGGTAAATGCATCCTTATATCACCAAAATCAATGTTAAGTTTGTATTGATATATTTGTTACCACAATGACAATGCTTGAATAAAAGAATGTACTGTAGTAATATTTGCGGATTCTATGATTTCTTTTCCAATTTTCCCTACATTATGCACCCTGTTGAAAACATAACAGGCAATTGATGACAAATTATTTCTCCATTTTATCTGTCAACTCCTGACAAACTTTACATGTCTATGATTTGCTTCATTACATTCGAGAGAATTAATTTTAATAATGTTAATTTAGTGTGTGGAATAAACCCTAAAACAACATTACAAAAAAAAGACAAATTAAAACAATGTTCAGTATAACAGGTTTAGTCAGAGGCCTGACCGATTATTAAGGTGTGGAATATGTCACAAAAAGGTATATTACTACAGTATTAATATAACACTACTCTAAAACCTAGCACTAGTACAGTAGTACTGTATTAGGTTTGCCATAGTCTGTTCACTCCAACTTTACATATTAGTCCTAGGGTAAGTTTGCAGCAAGGCACTTGATTGGCTGGAAGATGGACATGCATAGGTTCAATCTATAGGTCTTAGTACACGTATTTAATGTATCTTCTTTATATTTTCATATTTTAAGGTACAATAGCTGTAGTAAAAGTGGGGGTCCATCAAGGTCTGTCTTGAGCTCCTTCTCTTCATTATGGTGCTAGCAGCACTAAAATAGGACTCTAGTACTAATCTGCCAGGGAGTTGTATACTGATGACTGTAGTATTGAAGAGACAGAGGAAAAATTTAAGAAATGGAAGGATGGAATAGAGTTAAAGGGAATGAGAATGAACATGGCAAAAACAAAAGTAATGATTAGTGGCATGGGTGAAGGACCTGTGGCAGAAAGTGGAAATTGGTCATGTGCTGTCTGCAAGAAAGGTGTTGGCAGTAATTTAATAATATGCAATAAGTGTGGAAGGTGGGTATGCAAGAGGTGCAAAAGTGCAGATGACAGACTGCAGGATGTTGCTGACTATAAATGTTCTGGAAGAACAGGCAATTATGTGGCCATAGTAATGTTGGAGATACATCCCTGGATTGTGTCGATGAGTTCTGGTACCTGAGTAGTGGTGTTGAAGACAGCTCAGCTGCAAGAGTCAGAAGTGGCTGGAGGAAGTTTAGAGAGCTGTTGCCTTTGTTTGTGATGAGAGGACGTTATTAACTTGAAAGTAAAGTTGTATGTAAACCATGTAAGAAGTGTGTTGCTGTATGACAATGAAACATAGGCAGCTGAAGAGGATGACACATGTAAACTAGACTGAACTGAAATAAGAATGGTGAGTAATGTAACATTCAAAGATGGGTAACCCTGTACAGAATTAAGAGGCAGCTGGGTATTGATAACATCTGCAAAGTTTTGCTTGGGGGTAAGCTGTGGTCAGTTCATTGATTCTTCAGTGCAGATGATTAATTCTAGAAGGTATGTGATCGCTCTTGTAACAATTATTATTACTGGGCACAATCCTTATGTCAATGATACGTATTTCATATAGGACATATTGACAGCTAACACTGCACAAGCTCAAATCATAATCAAAATTCAGTAGTAACTGTTCAATAATAAAAAATAAAAAAGATGCAAAATATAAACTTGAAAATCCAATCATGAGATACCGTATCAGAAATCTCAGGATTACTTAACATAACACTCAACATTTATGACAGATAAGATACCACAAGTGATAAGAAAATCAAGCACATATACAGCAGTCCTCATTTCTCTTGAAGTTTTGCTTATCTTAGTAATTATTCATTTTTTTTCCTGCCAGTGTAGTTTATTCTTAGCATTCGCCTATAACACCACATTTCAAAGCCCTCCAACCTCTTTCTGGTGTTTGTTGAAAATGTCCACACTTCTGACCCATACATAAATCCCTGCCTTTCAGCAGCCTCTTTCTTATATTGAAGTTAATGTCCCTTTTCATTAGGTCTTTTAGATTATTAAATGCTGTTTTTGCTTGTCCTATTCTCATTTTGATTTCTTCCATACATCTACCATCACAACTAATGTTACTTACCATATACACAAAATTTTTCCACTTGTTTAAGTTCCTTGTTGCTCACCATAATTTTTATTTTAGGATTTATTTCCAATTTGTTAACAACCATTACTGTAATCTGGTATTTACAGCATTAACTCTACGTCTATGTCATCTTCCTGATGACAACAATAGACTACATGGAACTTGAGTGAAGAGCTAGATCCTGCCGCCTGTTAATAACTTTTGACCTTGCTCATGAATATTTTTACCCTGAAACCAAAGCAGCTCTATAATCTGTTAAGATGTACATACAGTATATGCCAAGTATGAACAGTGTAACTCAGTAAAAACTACTGATTTTATGAGAGGTGTGTCCTTGCCCTTGGACCTTTTGACCCCTCCCTCCAAAAAAAAAATATATACTGTATATACCCTGTACAGTGGTCCCTCGGTTAACGAACATAATTCATTCGAGAAGGTCGTTCATTAACCGAAACCATTGTTTCAATGGGATTTTGGGTAATTGGTTCCAGCTCACCGAAAATTACATACAAACTAAAAATAAATGCAGTAAAGTACACTTAATTTGAGGTGTGCATGTAGAAGGCTCCTGGTTGATGATGATGGGAATTAGAAGTGGGGGTGGAGGAGAAGGGAGAAG